AACTAAGACTTGGGAAATGTTGTTGGACCTGCGGATTATGTTACGTTTCTGAAGGATAGCTTGAGGCATCAACAAGGGACCCTCGGGCAGTGTAGTCAATGGGAGTGGAACATAAACAATGTCATGGGGACCCTTACATTCTTTCAACTGAGATATGTGGAAGATGGGATGGATTTTAGCAGTTTCAGGCAATAAAAGTTTATAGGCCACTGAGCCAATGCGATCGATGATTGGAAATGGGCCAAAATATCTCAGTCCTAGTTTCTGGTTTTTTCGTAAGGTAATGGAGTGTTGTCTATAAGGTTGGAGTTTGACCAAAACCAATTCACCAACCTTCAGCTCTTTATGCATGCGTCTGTTATCAGCATATTTCTTCATTTTTTCCTGGGCTTTAAGAAGTTGCCTCTTCAATTGAGTCAAAGCCCTGTCCCGTTCCCCTAAGAGCTCCTGGACGGATGGAGGGTCTTTAGGATCCATGGAGTATTTAATTATGGTCGGGGGATCTCTTCCATACACCACCTTAAATGGTGTTGTTTGTAGACTGCTGTGGAATGCTGAGTTGTACCAGAACTCTGCCCATGGTAATAGTCTGGTCCATGTCTTAGGATTATCAAAAGCAAAGCACCTAAGATACATCTCTATACACTTATTCAGGGCTTCTGATTGTCCATCTGATTGCGGGTGGTAAGCCGTAGACATGTTCAATGTTGTGCCACTCAACTTGAAGAGGTGTTGCCAAAAGTGACTGATGAAGATCTTATCTCTGTCAGAAACTATAGTTCGAGGGAACCCGTGCAGTTTGACAACTATGTTAATGAACAATTCTGCCACAATCTTACTAGTATAATCTGCTTTCAAGGGAGCAAGGTGAGCATACTTAGATAACCGGTCAATGACAACCATGATGACGGTATACCCATTGGAAGGTGGAAGACCCATAATGAAGTCCATGGCTATATCCTCCCAAACTTGATGGGGAATGGGGAGTGGCTGAAGTAACCCTGCTGGAAGGGTGGTGGCAGATTTAGCTTGTTGACAGATAAGGCATTCTTGGACATAGTGAGTGATATCTTTGAGCATGCCAGACCAATAAAACTGGGAAGACAGCCGAGCCATGGTTCTAGTTATGCCAGCATGACCCCCTATTGTTGAACTATGGTATTCCTTGAGCAACAATTGTATAATTTCCTCATCTCTAGGGATTACCACTTTGTGCTTCCAGTGTAAGAGTCCATCAGAGTAGGAGTAATGATTATTAGATGGTTTCCCTGCTACGCAAGCTTGGATAATAGCTTGGTGATGAGGATCGAGCTGTGTGGCCTTCTGAATTTTGGACATCAAGTTAGTCTCTCTATTGGACCATGCCATAAAAAAGGATCTGGACAAGGCATCTGAAGCCTGGTTATCCTTACCTAGTTTGTATTCAATGGTGAAATCATATCCCAAAAATTTGTGGAGCCATGCCTGCTGCTCAGGGGTTTGGAGGGATTGATCCATTAGACTTTTGAGGCTTTTTTGATCAGTGCGAATGATGAACTTATGACCCAGTAAGTAATGTCTGAATTTTGCAATTACTTCAGTGATTGCATAAAATTCCCTGGTATAAGCAGATTTGTGTTGCATCCTAGAAGATAATTTCTTTGAAAAGAATACTATAGGATGCTTGTCTTGGCTTAGAACTGCACCAATCCCCAAACCGGATGCATCAGTCTCCAAGACAAAGGTTTTGGTGAAATCTGGTAATGCTAATATAGGAGCACTGGTTATGGCTTGTTTCAAGGCCTCAAAAGCGTGAGTTGCATGTGATGTCCATTGAAAGTTATCCTTTTTCAGGAGATTGGTCAAGGGGTGAGCTATTGCAGCATACCCTTTTATAAATCGTTTGTAATAACCTGTTAGACCAAGGAATCCTCTCAACTGTTTTGTGTTCTGAGGGCAGGGCCATTGTAAAACAGCTTGAACCTTGTTAGCATCCATTGCTACTCCATTCCCCGAGACAATGTGGCCTAAGTATTCCACTTGAGAAAGACCAAAAGAGCATTTGGATAATTTGGCATATAATGTGTGTTCTTTCAAGATGTGCAAAACTGTTTCCAAGTGACTAATATGTGCAGACCATGAAGGGCTATATATAAGTATGTCATCAAAGAAAACCAAGACAAATTTCCTTAGAAGGCCTTTAAATATGTCATTCATGAGAGCTTGAAAAGTTGCTGGTGCATTTGTTAATCCAAATGGCATGACAAGCCATTCATAGTGGCCTTGATGAGTTCGAAAGGCAGTTTTGAATCTGTCAGCAGGATGAACCAATATTTGGTGATAGCCTGATTTGAGGTCCAACTTAGAGAAGAATTTTGCACCAAATAATTCATCTAGTAGCTCCTCAACAGTTGGGATAGGAAATTTGTCTTTGATTGTGACAGCATTCAGTGCTCTGTAGTCAGTACAAAATCTCCAAGTACCATCTTTCTTTTTGACCAAAATAATTGGGGAAGAGAAGGGGCTAGTGCTGTGGGTAATAATGACTTTGTCCAACATTTGTTGCACCATATTCTCAATTTGTTGTTTCTGACTGTGAGGATATTTGTATGGCCTCACTCTCACAACATTCACATCCGGCAAGAGAGGAATGCAGTGGTTTTGAGATCTATTTGGGGGAAGGCCCTTCGGTTTTGCAAATATCATGTTGTATGTGTGAAGTAGAAGTGCAATGTCAGGGTCAATATTCTCTAGGATAACCAAGCCATCATCCTCTAGAGTTAGAGGTTGAGTTAATTGTAATGTAAACAGTTCTGCAATGGCATCAGTTTTGCACAATCTAGTCATCTGATGCAACTCTGCTGGTTTTGGCAGAGTTGGTGGCTCACCTTGCAATGTAATGAGTTGTTTGTCCGAATAAAACTTTAAGGAGAGTGAACGATAGTTTGCAATGTGTGGTCCGATAGTAGCCAACCAAGCAGCACAGAATATCAGAATATCATATCAGCACCAGAAACTGGTAATAGGTACACTGGAAGTTTAAGTGTATGGCTTTGCACCTTAACCTGGACTTCTTTAATAACCCCTTCGGTAGACATGGCATTTCCATTGCCTACCAGGACCTGCAGAGATGACATATCCTCCACCGGCAGCTTAAGGCAATGAGCAATTTGTGGTTGCAAGAAATTATCAGAACTCCCACTATCCAACAATATCTGAATAGTCAGGCCTTGTAATGACCCGTGAAAGCGCATAGTTCCCACACCGGTAACACCCTTTAAAGCATTAAGAGAGAGATGGTGTTCCAAGTTCTGTTCTAATGCAAGAATTTCCGTATCAGTCTGCTCCTCATCATCATATTCAACTTGTAAAAATGTATATTGGCGATTTGGACACTTATGGTTTGCCGTGAACCTCTCATCGCATGTATAACACAGCCCTTTTTCCCTGCGTGATTGCATTTTTGCTAGTGACAGAAGGTTTAATGTTATTGGGAAGGAGGTTTTGGGGAAAAGGCCTTTGGTTCGAGGTAGGAAGAATGGGTTGTTGTGGTGGATTGTTATAAGATTGGGTAGTAGTAGGTGATGTGTTTTGGGTGGCATTTCTGGAAGTGTTTGGGTTGTATGGTCGTGGTTTGAAGTTGTATTTCTCTTCAAACAGTCGGGCTAGGGAATTGGCTTTAAGGATTGTGTTTGGTGCTTGAGCTATCACCTCTCTACGAATGTCGGTTTTCAACCCACTGATGAAGCAATCTAGAAGGGCTTCATTGCTAACACCATAAATCCTATTAGCAAGAGCTGTAAACTGCACATAATATTCATTGACAAATGTGGATTGGGTGAGTTTAAACAAGGTAGATCTAGGTGATTCAAAGGGTGAAGGGCCAAATTCCAACTCTAATGAACGGACCAAGGTGTTCCATGAAACAATGGGATTATTTCTTTGCATCATTTGATACCACGACACCACTTCTTTCTCGAAATGAATTGCTGCTATGGTCAACCGCTGTTCATCCGGAGTATCATAATAGTCGAAGAATTGCTCCGCTTTAAATATCCATTGTAGCACATCTGAACCATCAAAACGTGGAAAATCCAGCTTAACATTTCTGACCTGAAACGGTCCATGAACATTGCGTGAGTTCGCTCCTCCATGTGCCATATTCTCATTCAAATCCTCAATGGCATTACGAAGCTCCTGCATCTCTGCAGCATGCTCCCGTTCACGTTTCTGCATGAGCTCTAGGATCTGCTTAAGGTCATTTGAAGATGAAGCCTCGGCCATGGCAATGAAAGCACCAGTTTGTAATATACTCAATGTAACAGTAATATGAAACAGAGCAAGGCACCAAAAATTGGGAATTAGAAGTGTATATTCCAGAATTTATTTTCTTTCCCTGTGAGTTCGAATGGTATCACAGAGAATTAACAAAAAGCTGCAATACCAAAGTTGGTCTCAACAATGAAGGAATACGTCTAGAGAGAGAAGAATAATTTCCAATCATTGCCTCCTCTCCAGTGCTAACTAATTCCCCTTTTTGTACCCATTCTTTCACCAAAGAAAATCCCTCAACCTTGTATTATCCTTTATCTCTCTCACGTGCCTTTATATGCCACTCTATTATGCTATCAGTGCCATGTGGCTTGATTTCCCAACTGACTCATCCTTAGCCTCCATTTTCCCTGCCCATTCTACCCCTACAGTGGCCCTTTTATTCTCACTCGTTACACTTTTCCTCTAAAATAAGAAGCTCCCTTTAGAGAAACTTAAATTCTAAACAAGGTGTCGGGAAAATAAAACACTGAAGACAGTCCCAAAAGAGCAATGCAATTTTCGCCAGAAAGCTATTTCAGTGAAACATAATGGGAAATGCATTGCAAACCATGCAAACACGGATATGAAATAAAGTAATCAACGAATGCAGACAAATGATAAAGGGGCAGAAAGTCTCTGAAAAAAGGCACTTAACTGCACTCAGATTGGGAGTTACTACAAGCAAATAGAAAAATAAATATTCCTACCTTATTTAGTAAGAATACAGCATAAGCTGCTCTTGTTGTGTCTTGACCTTCTAAAAAAAGGGGGAATTCCACATGCTTGACATTTGTGTTTGCATTTGATGAAGCTTCAGATGTTAGCTCTGTGGAAGGCGCATTGTCTATAATATATGAATGAGAAGCACACAACCGTAAAGGATATCGCAAAGGAACTTGCAAGTAAGAGGCTACAAGGGAAACAGCCTGCGAGAAAATCAGTCCAGTAAAGTACATTTCAATAACAAAAATTATTCAAAGTGGGGAGACGTTTCAATACTTATTAGGTCCACAATCATGGGCATGAGCTAGCCATAAGAAACGCTACATAGCTGGAAGCACACATTTTGCAATGGAAAGAACAAAATATGTATAACAATTTAGAAACTGTACATGACAAATTTGTAAATGGATCACAAAAAGCATACGATAGAATAGCACAATAAGTTGAGACCACAAAAGGCGCAGTAGGTTCCAATACTTACATGTGCAACATATCCTAGGGCAGTAGCAGACTCCCGAGTTTCCTTCTTATCAGTGAAAAAGCTCAATTTCCTAAAAATTAGCACATTCAAATGCAGACCATGAATTGTTAAGGATCCTTGATTAACTGGTTTAAGTCCAGCAGAAGTCCCTGAGTAATAAATAAATGAAAATTTTAACAGCATAAATCAGAAAAGCTATCACTAACAATTGCAGTTAATATTAGCAAAACAGTTGAGATAATTTAAACTAACATGACATAAATTAATATCCAATAAATAGCCGTGGTCTTCTACTGCATCCACGTCACATTATATAACATAGCATGAAAGTTCCTTACAGTATGAAGAAAAGTAATATGAAAAAACAATAAAAATTAACTGGATGGATGCTCAAAAGGTTTGTATTTCCAAAAGTGATCTGTCCATTTAATGGTTAAAAATAAATGTGAAACTCCAAAGAAAAATACATGACAGAGCTCAATGTAAGACGCTGGAATTTCATTCAGGAATGGATTAGATGATTGACATGTTACTTTTGGAAAGAGAAATGAGGGAGTAGACGTTCTAGGGGGGAGTAGTTCACGGTGGAGTAAACGAGTCTGAGGAAGGGTGTGTTGTGTTTGCGTGTTAAACGAAAGAGTGCCAGACAGTAGGTGTGAGAATAAAATGCATGCATTAGATGATAAGCACACAAGCAACAGACGAGTAGTAGATGTGACTATCTTGTGATGAGATGTGAGTAAATGACCTAGTGATGAAAGGATGAAATTGTTTGGCTTAAAGAATTACTTAAAGAGTTGTAACTTAGAGATGTCTGATAGGTACCCAGAATTTATTACTTCCTCAAAGGACTCCAAGACAGGTTCTTGGACGAACTTACAATGGAACCAGACAGCTTGATCCGCACTAGAATGTAGAATTCACACACACAACACCAGGTCTTTTGAGAGGACCTATATCTCCCTTCCCTTCACTATCAACCAATTCTCAAAAACTAAAGAAAACAACCCTGTACAAACTATATATAATAGTATGTTTACAACAGCCCAACCCATAGACAGTTATAACTGTCTGTCTCCCTTATTTCTTCTTACATAAACTTCCCCCTGAACCTATCAATAACCCTCCATGAAGTTTCACCTTGTCCTCAAGGTGAAATGCGGGAAATTCCGTATTGATGGTTGTAGCATTTTTCCAACTGTTTTCAATGGATGGGAGGTGTTGCCATTTAAGTAAAACATCCAAATCTTCCATTGTAGAAATGCGAACGTCTAGCACCTTCTCTTGATATACTACTAACATCAAATCCTCTGTGCAGATGGAAGAGGTTGAACTGAAGTGGTTGGTTGGACAGCACACTTGAGGAGGGAGACATGAAAGACCGGATGAATTATGTTGTGAATAGGGAGATCCAATATATAAGCTACAGCCCCTATGCGTTCCTTGACTGTGTAAGGACCATAGAATCTGGGCCTGAGCTTCTTGTTAGGTCTGCGAGCCAATGATTTCAGACGATAGGGTTGAAACTTAAGGTACACCCAATCACTTATTTGGAATTCCACCTTCCTCCGATGTTTATTTGCGTGCACCTTATTATATTCCTGGGCTTTGCATAAATTTTCTTTCAACTCCATCAATATGTCATCCCTTTCTTGTTGTAACTGATTCACACTTTGCACCTTAGATGGAATAGTAGTACCTTTTAGCAACAGAGGAGGGTCACGGCCATAGAGGGCCTTAAAAAGGGACATCTTTGAAGAAGCACTATTCTTAAATTTAGGAGAGAGAATATATTTTTTATGTCTCCTTACATGCATTGGATATATATACAAGAGCTTAGTGACTGAATAGTCTATTCTATGAAACAAATCCCTGAAATTGTGGGATTATTATTCTAGTAATAATAGCAATGTTAGATGTTAAGATGTGTGTTTCTGTTATTTGGGCTTAGTCTATTATGTATTAAGGGCATTGGCCCATATCTTACAATATAAATAAACTACCCTATGTGTATGCTAAACACACAAGGGATATTCTCTCCCAATCTTCTCTATTTCTCATATGGTATCAGAGCACAGGAATAGTTCCAGTCAACTCCACGGTCTCCGGCACCCCTCACTGCCGCAGTCGCTGTCGCTGCCGCCGCCGCCGTCGCCGCCGTC